AAAGTATCCTAAAGTTGACGTGATGCATCGGTGAACGGCTGTCTCTAAGAAAGCTCTCTGCTTTGGGAAGCTGAATGGCACAGATACCTGGTGTGGAAGAAGTTGGCATAGCAACTCCGCATTTGCAGTGGTGAGTCACAGAGTAAACAGGTGCATAAGACAGCTACTCAAATGCGTTTGCTTCTTCACAAAGTGGCTAAATCATGTAAAGCTTTTTTGTTTGGCTTCTCCTTTTGAGCAATACAAATTGTCAGTCTAATATCTGAAGGCACTTCATCTGCTGAACAGGAGAGTATATTCATGACTCATGGAAAGATTTATTCTCAGCACTTTCCCTAGGTAAATAAGGTGGCATTTAGGCATATATGTCACAACCCCCGTTACAATAAACACAATTCTCCACTGACTAGAAAATGGTACCAAAAATAATCTTTGTGTGTTGGTTAAAAATATGTATTCCTGAGAAAATAACTGCTTACCTGTTGCTAATAGGTCCCTTGAAGTCTGGGTCATATGACCTTGGATCACCTGCATTTAAAACAAAAAACATTTTAAGTATATAAGCCAGGTAAATGGCAGAAAAATAAATATAACATATTTATATTAAAATATATGCATCTTGACTAGTCCACTACTTATTGCAATGTTTAATTCATTCTTTGGTCCAGTGAAATAAACATAAGGCATGCCTTGGTTATAACTGCTAATCCTTTTCCATCTCCCCAGTTAAAAGCAAGACTGGGCAGAGTGGTTAAGGAACATATTCTATGCACCCTTTTTTGTATCTCCCCACTGTACTGAGTATCATCATTATAGATTGTCTCCAGGATAACAAAATTTGGTCTGCAAAATTGTTCTGCCTTGTGTCATCACCAAGCAGTGTTGAGAACTCATGAGATGCACAGCATACTACAAGATACCTCTTCAAATCTCAGCTCTCCCATTTCTGTCAATAGAAAATGCTTTTTGGGGGGCCAGCTCATGGTTTGGTGGTTAAGGCACTGGACTTCCACATGGCTGACCATAGTTCAAATTCTGGACCCAGTGGCTTGAAATTCAGGCAGGGTACCAGTGTGCCCAAAATCCCAAGAGGAAAAAGGATTGTGATATGGCCATGCCTCCTGGGGCATGATTTCTCACTTTGCTTCTCTCTGTCTTTCTCCAGTGAGTACATGTATCCTATAGCAAAATATCTTTTTAAAAAGGGGGGGTGGCAGTTCATAGAGAAATTCAAATACTTGTTACTGTTTCGCTATGTTGGTCATATGATATATCTACATTATTATTATATTATATAAATGCTATTTTTTAATGATTTTTTTTTTAGATCTACTGATAGACTTTATACTATCTGGAAAGATAACCTAGTCATTCACTGTTGTATCATGAATGTGATTATCCTCATTTTAAAACAGCATAAGACATACATAAAAAGACTTTTTTCTCCTCAGATATACTGTGTGGACATCTCAAGGAACAATTCTTTTGAGAGATTTTTGTTATAGGGCACATGTGCTCACTGTAGAGACAGAGAGAGACAGAAAGCAAGAAATCACCCCCCCAGGAGGGATGGCCACATTGCAATCCTTTCTTCTCCATTCTCCTCTAGGGATTTTGGGCACACACGCATGCACGCCAGCGTGAGTTTAAGCCACCTTGTCTGGGACTTGTACCACAGTTGACTACATAGAAGTCCAGTGATGTAACCATTGTGCCATCTCCTGCCCTCCCCACCACCACCACCCAGGAACAATTCCGTAAAGTCCTTCTACCAAAGACTACATTTTGTAATTGCCAATCCCCAGACTCTTTCTTGCAATCTAAATACTTCCAACCCTTCTTTTGGGGATTTGTCCCTGTAAGGCCTGGTCATGAATTAAGGACAGAATTTTTAAGTGGAGCAGCAAAAAGACCTTTTGTGAGTCAGTAACCTGACCCTGCTATACACAATGGGGAAATTAGGCCAGAGAATTCAGAGGTCTTTTCAGTGTAATCACAGGCTAAGACCAAAACAACAGTAAAGGAAAGACAGACTGGCAATGAAAATCCAGGAATTGATCAGTCAGGAAGTATTTACAAAGAACCTTTTGTATGCTGAGAGCTTTAGGGCGATACAGACAATATGTAAGGCATGCTCCCTATCTTAGCAATCTTAAAATGGTGAGCAAGATGGACATTGATTCATTCAACAAATATTTATTGAGACTTTATATACCACCCTCTATATAATACTACTTGAACGCTGAATCTGCCTTATAAAACCATTAATAATATACTAAATCGTGTGGTGCTATGGCTTTTACGTTCCTCCAAAATTCATGTTGAAACTTAATCTCCAATGTGATAGTATTAAAAGGTAGGGCCTTTGGGAAAGTCATTAAGGCATGGGGACCCCACCCTCACAAATAGGGTTAATGCCCTAATGAAAAATGTGTCCAAGAGCTGTCTCTCCTTTCAAAATTTGCCATGTGCAGACACAGGTTCCTCCCATTTTGCCTTCTTCCTTCTCATGAAGATGCAGTGATATCTTGGCATCAGAGAGCTGCCCTCCACAGACACTCAAACTGCCGGTGCTTTGATCTTAGACTTCCCAGTCTCCAGGACTGTGAAAAGATAAACTCTTGCTGTTTATACATTACCCAAACTAAAGCTTTCACTAAAATAGCAAGAACAGACTAAGACATGTGGTATTGGTATTAGCATTAACTGTAACCAAGAATTCTGAAAAAGTAAGTTTCAGCAAAGATAAAAAAAGCCAAGAGAAGTTCATTCAAGAACTGAGATTTTTGTGAAAGACATAATAAAAGGTAAAGGAGAAATATTATGGATGGGTAAAACTAGAATTCCATTATATCCACTAACTATTGATCATCTGTTGGGTACTCTGCAGTGAAACAGGCACTTAGGGGACAGGGATACTAGTGAAGCACAATCCAACTTCAATAAGTTAACAAACCAGTGAACAGGAGGAGAAATAAGGAAAGTACTCAAATAACTATGTTACAGGGCCCAAATATGTCTAAGCAGCATACAAAGCTAATGTAATGAAAGTTCCTAGGGAAGGAAAGGTCAGGTTCCATTGAGAAGATCAATAAAAAAGAGCCACAATATTTTGAGATAAACAGAAAAAGTAGGTTTTATCATGAAAAAAGATTAATTCCATAAAGGAGAACATCAGGATCTGTCAGATATTGAGTAATCTTATTATAATGACAATATCAGTAATACAAAAATGATTTGAGTAACAAGTGCTAAGCATTGCCCCAAGTGCTTCATATGCATTATTTTGTTTACTTTGTTACAATAATTTTATTATGTAGAAAGCTTGGAAATTATTATTAGTCTCTCTTAACAGATGCAAAATATGAGGCACAGAGAGGCTAAGGACTATAACCGTTGTCATACAGTTAACAAATGATCCACCTGGGATCCACACTGATTCTATAGGCCATTCCCTACAAGGCCAACTCCAGGGGGAAGTGTGTAAATTACTTTCTGTTTCACACAGGCTACAAGTACTTCAGTGTCAAATCTCTGACACACTGTCAGCCTCCCTTTATCTGGACTGTTTTATCTGATTCTGCCTTAAAGCAACAGGTTCTTTTAAGGGTGTCTACACTCTCCTTTAACTGGGAACTGACACCCCCACCTCAATCCACAAGGGTAGATCTCTAGCTGCTGTGTTTCCCTCTTGTGGCTGTTCTCTGGTCATGGCCATCTGGATCTGGTTTGGACACTAGGCCCAACTAGATGAGTCAAATTCTTTACCCCAAGAATTCAAAATTAGAATGAGAGTCTCAGTGGGTGATTAAACTGCAAAATATAAATTTCAAGATCGCAGAAGCAGAGAAATACAGCTTCCTGAAAATAATCACTGAAGCAAATGCACATAGTAAAGGTGAGATGGAAATCCTGAAGGCCTTTAGCTTCCTAGTCTAGTCCCTACCTGAGACTCAGGGTTGAGTTTCATGAGATACAATGTACCTTTGGAGTGAATTCCCTTTTCTTGCCTTTTTATAGAATTATTTATTTAATTCCATCTGTTGTTATTATTGTTGTTGTTGTTATTATTATTAACTTGACCAGACAGAGACAGAGAGAAAGGGAAAGTGAAAAGGAAGCCATCAGGTCTGGGACTCTAACTGCAGTCTACCATGGGAATCCAGCACCTTTAACCACCACGCCATCTGCCAACCCCTCTTTTCTTGCTTTTAGCTAGTTCAAGTTGGTTATGTTCAACCAGAGTCCTACTAATAATTCTCTCTTGTCTTGATTTATGCTTATTTTGAGAACACTTTTTCTCATGGATAGGAGAAAGAATTCTTGAGACTAAGTTGCCTTATGAATCTTGCAGATGAATAGGAAATATTAAGCTCAAGATATAATTTTAACTTCTGTGTATTAAGAACTGTGACAGAGACGACGTATAGATGATGCTGGGGTTACACAGGGGTCATGAAAGACAGGCTTCTCAAGCTTTTACCTGAATCTGACCTTTGGCTCCACCTTCTGAGCACCCCCTTACCCTGTGCTCTTTGACTTGGCTCTTCTATTCTGCTTTTGAACACAAGTGTTTGTGTTATCTCTGGTTCCACATTTCAGTTCTCGAATCTGACTAAAGAGCTGAAATATCTAAAAGTTTGTTCAGAGCTGGGCCCATGGCGCAGTGGTTAAGCACTGTATATTGGAAGCTAGATCCCACAGAGTCCACTATAGTATGAGTCTGGGCCCCAGTGGCTTGAAAAAATGCCATCCCATGCATATACATGCCTGAAATTCTGATGAGATAGAGAAATGGAGGAAAGGAATTGTAGTGTGACCATGCCCTATTAGGGGTGCTTTCTCTCTCTCTCTCTCTTTCTCTCTTTCATTCTCTCTGGTAAGCATACTTGTCTTCTGGCAATTAAAAAAAATCCTTCACAGATATACTTTCCAATCCACTCTCTATCATACACATGCCAAATATTCTAATTTTGTAACTCTGAGTGGGTCTGGGAATATGTATTTTTTTTAACGTCCACCAAATGATTTCAATGTACAGGCAGGTTTGGGGTCGATTGGCTATTAAATTTTATTCTGAATTTCATCTTTAACCTTTATCTCACTTTGTACATTCTTGAATTTTAGCTCTACATGAAAACCAAACCTGATAGAGTAAGTGAAGGGAAAAGTGGGCCATCATGATGTGTATGAACTTTGGGAAACACTATAACCACGGGTAAAATGTGAATAAAACAATTGTAGGAAGAGAAGTAGAAAAGTGACATTCAAGGCAGCCAAAGAATTTTAAGAAAGGGGAATGATGACACAGTCTATTGATATATAAAAATGATTATTAAGCAAATGCTTATTTGTACAAGAGAATGCTGCAAGTGCTTTACACACAGTTCTGCCATTTTGCACAGTTCCAACTCAAACACAATGTGAACTAAACTCCTCTGAGCTGTGCAGTGCAATAGTCTTGGTTTAGTTCTGTCATTTAATGTTTCCAATAATTCTTTTTTTTTTTTAGAGGTTTCTGCAATAGG